AAAATAGGACAAACAATACTTCCCTGTGTCTCAGAGAAACGGCAACAATAAAAGTTAAGAAAAAAAATGGAAAAGGGATGTTTCTAGATGCACTCGCTGGTGGAGCTAATTTAGCTCCAATGCAGCTACAGCTGGTCTCATAGCGTGACCGTCTATCTCTGCTCGTGTTCATATTAAAAATATTCTCATTTTCAGGCTGCCAAACATTTATTTTCAGATATGAATATTTAACCACCACTTGAGCACACAAAGCTAAGATAAGCACTAGAACCACAGAACTAAAGAAGACCTAGACCGTGAAAATATTGTCTTCTTTCTGCAATTAGTAAACTCAGCCAGAGAAAGATCAATTATTTTCTCATGGACCCCTATGTGCACGGGTTGGTCCAGTGACCCTGTTCGTGGCACCCTCTCGCTTTGACCTAGGTAGGGCATTCATCGAATTCTGTTTCCTCAGAAATTGCTCTTGAGGTATCAGGCAATTTCTTCTAGGTCTTGTGGGCTTTCTAGAACCTGGCGGTCCCATGTCTACGATCTCTTGAGACACCCACTCCGCTTTATGAGACAAAGCTGAATCAAAGAGAGGTGCGAACATGTGCTATTCTGAAAAATCCTCTCCGGTCTCCAAGGATTGCAAAGTTTTTGCAAAGACCTCCTGCTATTAACAAAAATATGGACTCGATTCCATCTATTTTCTTTCCTTCGCAGTTAAGTTTCTTTCTCTTTTTACAACTTAATGAGATATAAGTAATATAAGAAAGCTGCATATATTGAAAGTGTACAACCCGATAAGTTTGGACATATGCATATACCTAATGATTCTACTACCGCCACCAAGGTAATAAACCATCCATCACACCCCAAAGTTTCCTCGTGTGTGTGTGTATGCGCACGCGTGAGTGTGCTAAGAACACTTAACGCGAGATCTAGCGCAGTAAGGAATTTTAAGTGCCCGATATCTTATTGTTAACGGCAGGCGGTATGTTGCAGAGTGGATCGTGAGAGCTTCTTTACCTTGTATAACGGTAATTTTTATACCCGCCGAACAGAAACTCCCAATTTTATCCCCTCTCAGCTAAGTTGTTTGAAGGATTACCCCGTACGGTCTCCCCTGTTATCGGTGGGAGATTGGTTCCAGGACCCCCGCCTCCCCCTCAGAGATGACAAAATCCACAGATGCTCAAGTCCCTTATATAAAAGTGTTGTATTTGCATATAACCTATGCACATCCTCCCGTATATACCTTTTAATACTTGATACAATGGATATGCTATGTAAATAGTTTTTATGCTGTATTGTTTAGGGAATAATGATAAAAAAAAATACCACAACCATACATGTTCAGTACAAACATAACCATCATAGGCCAACTACATAGTACACGTCAGCGACAACTTAACTTTTTTTATTCGAATATTTTCCAGCCACCGTTGGTTGAATTCTGCAGATATGGAGGGCTGACTGTAATGGTCTTTATCTCTTATTCACTCTTTTACCCCAATTTCAATGCCACCCTTACTACTCTACCAAAATTGTTCTTTTCTGAGGTTATTATTCACCTTCTAGTTACCAAATCACATAAGCATACCTTGACTCCCCTAAGGCATTTGCCGTGAATGCGGTTGAGAATTCCCTCCCCTCTGAAATTCTCTTCTCTGCCATTGGTGTCTGTGGCAATACCTTCTTTGGAGTTTCCTTCTACCTCTGATTGCTCCTCCAGTGGGATCATTTTGACATTCCTAGCCTTTAAATGATGGTGTTCCTCAAGGGTCTTCCGCATTCAATTATTATCAATACTGAATATTAGCCGATGTCACCCACATCTGTTATCTATAAACCTGATATTTCTCCTGAGCCCGAGGCCTTAATTTGCAACGACCCACTGGGCACCTCGACCCGGATACCTCAGAGGCATCTCATTCCAAACAAGTCCTTAATTACAGTCATGTTCTTTTTCATATCCTGTCACTGTGTGTGGCATGTGCATGCCCCCAATGGCCACACCAGAGAATGGCCACACTAGAGACCAGAGCCACCTCTACCCTTGTCCGTCTATATCCCAAGGATCTCTTAATTCTGTCCTCTTAGGCTCTCTCATCTGTCCCCTCCTCTCCACCTCCATGAACTTGGCCTCGTTTGGGGCCTTATCACTCTCACCTGGGTGACTTCACCATAGTAGGTGTTCACAGGTATCCACCAGCTCTTTGTTGGTGAGATGAACACGTTGGAACAATTCCTCTCCCCAGCGCTGCCATCTGTGACTCACCGTTCTTGCTCCAGGGACCCTTCGAAGCACACAGGTGGGCATGCCACACCCCTTCAAACTCTCCCGCGGCCTCCAGGATCGATTTTCGTCCTCCTCGCATGGTGCACAAAGCACTTCTCACTCCTCCCTTGCCTCACCTCTCCCCGCAGCCTCGTGAGACGCCTCACAGAGCCGGTGGCCTTTAAGGACTTTTCCCTCCTCTTTTTGTCAAGGTACACATGGCATACTATAAAGCGCGGACTGCAGGTGCACGTATCAGTGGATTCTGGCGTGGGCATACGTACGTGTAACCACCGCCCCGATTAATACACGCACATTTCCATCAGCCCAGGAAGCTCCCCGAGTCCTCACCAGTCAGTCACCTCAGATTCACCGCCGTTCTGATTTCTATCACCGTGTATTAGTTTTGCCTACAGGTCTTCGCGTTGCCCAGTGGTCTTCCAAGCACGCAACTCCATCCTCAGCAACATGCGGTGTTGTCAATATTTTTATTTTAGACATTTTAGTGTACGTTAAGTGGAGTTTCATCGCGGCTCTAAGTTACATTTTCTTCTCGACTAATGATGTTGAGTATCTTTCAATGTGATTTGTGGCACTTATATATCTTTGTGTGTGTGTATGTGTGTGTGTGTGTGTGTGTGTAATATCCCAAGATTTTACACATTTCGAAAATTGAGTTGTCTTTTTATTATTCACATGAGGGAGTTCTTTATGTATTCTGAATATAAGTTCTTTGCCAGATACATAACTTTTCCAGTCCTGGGCTTAAGATTTCATTTTCTTGATGATGTCTTTTGAAAAGCAGCAAGTTGTAATTTATCATCTTTTTTTTCTTTATGCCTTTTTAATTTGTCTATGCAGGACATTTTATCTGGGAGAAACTTCCTTCCTATCTATGAGAGTCAACTGACATCATAGGCTGTGTTAATTACTAATGTTCATGTCCCTTTTCCCCCACAAGCTTGGGACCAATTTAAGGGCAGAGATCATGTTTTATGGAGTGCTTTAGATCTAGTAGAATGCCTATCAAGAATTAGATGCTCAAGAACTACTTATTACCCAAATGCACAAATGACTATGTTGAAAATTGGAAGAGTCAATCCAATTTCATCAATTAACTTCTTGGCACCTAGTTTTCTCTTCCTGAAAACAAGGAAAACTCCCCAGTTACCTCACAAGCATGTACAAGCAGTGGAAGCTACATGAGGTTGTGAAAAGGTGTACATCAGTAAGCAGCCTACGAATATATACTTTTCACAGATTTTTATTATTGTGAAGAATTTCATGAATCCTGATTTTCATTTGAAAAGCAATATATATAATTCTTAATAAATTAGATGTACCTCATGAAATGCTGGGACATCCTGGACCAAAAACACATGTGATTAGTCAGAACTTGAGATGTAAAGGTTTACATTTGACTTCATCACATCAGAGTGACCAACTTTTTAATCTAACAAGGTTCACTAATGTCTAAAATCACAAAGAGTACATAAAAAGGACAATGTCGTCATCAAATCTGTCCGAGGGATCAGACATAATAAATCCCACTGAGAATTCCAATTTGATAATGGGAGCCAAGAAGTCACGATATAATTCTGACAGGAAACTGCCATGAGAAAAAAATCTGGACGCCACCAGCAATACATGAAAACGATGGGCTCATTGAGGAAGCAAATCACCATCTTCCTTCTGCAGGGAACCACAGGGTGGGGAAGCCCCTGCTCAGTGGACGAGACTTAATTAATACTATGACTCATTTATTGATCAATAAAAAACATTCAGCACGTGACGAATTAAGCGTTTGCAAGGAGAGTGACTTTTCCCATGGCAACAAAGCCTCAGAAAGTCCAGGATTTTATCGGCCAGATTCTTGTATTTTTCTTTCGGGGCAGCGCAAGTCCTCACCCTGGATGGTTAAAGTACCAGAAGCAAGCGTGATATTCAGATGCTCAAATTGATTGATAAATATGTAGATAGAACAGAAAATATAGTTACACGGATAAATAGGCAAGATGCTCAATTTCCAGATATGAGAAGTATATAATTTAGAAACTAATTGAAACTGAAGTTTTAAGGATTTGATGTAATAACCCAGCATCACCTAATAAAAGAACCTATCCATTATCCAGTATGCAGTCTTTGCTCCTGAAAGAGTTGGCTCTGTTAGGAGGTTCTGAAAGGCTCGAAGTCTTTCTTTTTAGTCCAGGCTTGATGCTGGGGTCAGGAGTGTGAGATGATCTTTCTCAAATGGCCTAGATCCCTGAAAGAGAGAGGTGTGAACTTGCCCTTGGCACAGAAATACCAATGAAATACAGCAGGCATAGAAAGTGAGGGAGCAGCAAGTCACTGGCAGCCTGTGAGGACTGCCACCATCCAGGAGGCTGGTGGCCCCGACCCCTCCTGAACTGTGACCTGGCTCTCATTGTCCTAAACCATGTCTGAATGTGGCCCATATTCTCAAACTTAGTCCCAAATAGACATGCAATTCTCCTCTCATAAGAATTTGGTTGTGACTAAAGTACGATGAACAGGAAGTTAGATCTGGTTGCAAAGAATTTAAGTTGAAAGCAGGAAGTATACCTTACTGACGTTTAATAACCTGTGAATAATACCTGGCTGGATGGTTATCCAGTGAATTAATAGGGGGCCTTAAAAGAAAAAGGAAAAAATGTATAGGACTGCTGGAGTTGAAAGGCTATATTTATGAAATTAAAAGAGCAGACCCAATAACTTAATTAATACTATGACTCATTTATTGATCAAAGAGAATTTATTCACAGAGCTTTCAAATACAAACAAAATAGCACTTTTTGTTTTTTACAAAATGAATATTGAAATAAATGTGATACAGCACAGTCCGATAACAGACAAAAGAAAATAAGATCTAATGACTGGCAAATGGACAGAAATATGCCCCTTTACTTCATAAGAATATCATAGCAGAAGCTACTCAGAGAAGTACACCATATTTTTGAACAATATTGAAATACAAAGTCTTGACGCTAAGGTCTGCATAAACGATGAAAACATATTGAGGCATAAAGACCTTATGCGGGGTATACAAAATACTGATAGAGTGGCTTATTGGTCCGTTTATTAGGGTTAATGTATGCTCTATAAAGTGATAATACTGTATTTTAAAAGTATAATAAAAGGAAAACTGAGGAGTGATGCACCGCCAGGCCTCTCGCTCAGTCTTCGTGACGACTTAATGTGTGAGCGTGGCAGGTGTGAGGACGTGTGCGTCTCTATGTGCTCGTGTGCTTTCAGAAGCGCCATGATCTGTAGGGAGCATCTGCGGGTTACCCTGCTTCCCAACAGAACACTGTCTCTGCTAGCCCTTTTGATTCTCCGAGTCTTTATCTTAAAAACAAAACAAAAACCCTCGTTTGCATATACAGATTTGTTTCGGGTGTGAATGCATTCTATATTAATAATACTCCGTGGAATAGAAACACCTAACGCCCCTGCGATATTTTTAGCCTTTGGTCCATTTTCCTCTATCATTCCATGCTCTTCATCTCTTTTCCAAATCTTGCACGTCCCTTCTACATAATGTAATGTTTCTGATTCCATTGGGTTTCATCCCATTAGCATCGTATGGACTAGAACCACTATTCCACCTTTTGAAAGCAGCTGGACGCTTCGGTACCTCCAAGCCCCTTCAGTCCATCTCCTCCTCTGTTTATTCCCGGTGGCTCCATCTCAGTATGGGTACTGCTTCTGTTTCTTGCCGGAGAAGCAAGCCAGCCACGTGCACAGCAGGATGGCAGTGGCGGCACCCGCTCCTGTGCAGTAGTAGGCCCAGCCGATTTCACACTTACCTAGGGACACAGAGGGGGACAGAAAGCAGCACAGACAGATCAGGATGATTTTGCAGGAGACTCCGTTATTTCTTCCAGTGTGTGTGTCCCGGATGTATGGAAGCGGAACCGAAATGCCCTGATAAAGGTGGTGTGCGCGGTCAAATGAAATCAAAACATGGGCTGAAGGCGATATCGAGACTGAAGAAAGCCACAATGGTCGTGCGCATTGCGGGAAGACCTCACGATCTATGCCTCCCGCTTCTAATGCCACCGCCGGAGCGAAGAAAAGGGAGGATGAGAGCAATCGGCATAGTAGAGATAAAGGTATTAATTCCGATTTCAATCACCCAAACTCATATGCATAATGAGTTACCGTAGGAAAAATTCATAATACAGTCCTTCCTGAAAGGGCCACTGGAAGAAGATGACCCATTCGAAAGCTAATGCTAAAGTGAATACTGCTATTTACAGGGAAATGCTAAGTGGCTCACGCTGATTGAAGTGGAGAGGAAAATCTCCCTAACTCTCCTGGGATCAACACTCACCTTTAAGTTAATGCATCCTATCAATAAGAACATAATAACAAGGATCCAGAGGGGTCCTCATCTCTCAGAGTTGGCCTAGTATTAGTAGTAATAATAACACACCCACAAGACTAAAAATATAATTAGTAGAAAAAAAAAATTAGGCATAGCTATATTAATTTCAGAGACAGCAGATTTCAAAGCAAGAACTTATAAGGGATAATGAAGGGCATTAATAATGATAAAGGAATCAATTCTCTGAGAAAACACAATAACCCTTGATGTGTGTTTGCCTAACAATAGAGCATCAAACTACAAAAGGCAAAAACGGACAGACTCCAGGGAGAAGTAGATCAATCCGTTATCAGAGCTGGAGACTTCCACACGCCTCTAACGGAAAAGGACAGATTCAGCAGGCAGACAAGACCTGCAGAACATAGCTGAACTCAACAACACCACTAATTGGCTGAATATAATTTACATCTATAGACTACTTCCAACATTGCAGAACACATTCTTCTCCAGGTAGACAAAACATCCACCAAGGTTATGGATCATAGAACAGACTTTAACACAATTAAAAAAATAGAAATCATGCAATGTCTGCTCATGGACAACATAGTATTAAACTAGAAATCAATAACAGAAAAATGACTGGAAAATCCCCAAAGTTGTGGAGATTAAACAAGATCCTTTTAAATAACACTCAAGAAATCTCAAGATAAATTTTAGAATATTTTGAACTAAATAAAAATAATGCAGCTTATCAAAATGTGTGGGATATAACAAAAACAGGGGTTAGAGGGAAATTTATAGCATTGAATGCATATATTAGAGAAGAAGAAAGATCTAATGTTGATAATCTTAGTTTTCACCTTAGAAACCTACAAAAAGAAAAGCAAATTAAACTCAAAATAAGCAGAACAAAATATAAGAAGAAATAGAGTAGAAATTAATAATAACTTATCAAAATGTGTGTGATATAACAAAAACAGGGGTTAGAGGAAAATTTATAGCATCGAATGCATATATTAGAGAAGAAGAAAGATCTAATGTTGATAATCTTAGTTTTCACCTTAGAAACCTACAAAAAGAAAAGCAAATTAAACTCAAAATAAGCAGAACAAAATATAAGAAGAAATAGAGTAGAAATTAATAATATTCTATGAGGCCAGAATTACCCTAACACCGAAACCAGATGAAGACATTACAAAAGACGAAAACTACAGACAAATATCTCTCATGAACTTAGATGCAAAAACTTTCAATAAAATAGTGGCCAATCAAATCCAACAATGTATGAAAAGAGTTATATACCTTGACCGCACGATATTAATCCCAGGCATAAAAGGCAGGTTCAACATTTGAAAATCGATTAATATAATCCATCATATCGAAAGACTAAAAAAGAAAAACTACATAATCATATTAATAGATTCAGAAAAGTATTTAAGTCCATCACCCACTCATGATAAAAATTCTCAGTAAACTAGAAATAGAAGGAAACTTGCTTAACTTGATAAAGAATATCTATGAAAATACAATAGCTAATATCATACTTCATGATGAGAAACTCTCACCACTCCTTTTCAACATCAACTGGAAGTCCTAGTTAATGCAATAAGACAGGAAAAGAAAATAAAAGATATACAGATTGGAAAGGAAGAAATAAAGCTGTCTTTGTAGATGATGTGAAGAAAATGTGAAAGAAGCCACGAAATACTCCTGGAACTAATTAGTAATTATAGAAAGGTTGTAGGATGCAAAGGTAATACATAAAATTCAATTACTTCCTATATACCAGCAATGAACAAGTGAAGTTAAAACTAAAAAAACACACCATTTACATTGGCACCTAAAAATAAAATAATTAGGAATAAATCTAACAAAATGTATACAGAGCCTATATGAGGAAAACTACAAACCCTGATGAACAAAAATCAACAAACTAAATAAATTGAGAGATAGCCCATGTCCATGGATAAGAAGACTCAATAGTGTCAAGATGTCAGTTCCTATCAAACTGATCTATAGATTTAGTAAAATCCCAATCGAAATCTCAGCAAATTACTTTGTGGATATTGACAAATTGTTTCTAAAGTTTATATGGAGAGGCAAAAGACCCAGAAAAGCCAACATAGTATTGAAGGAGATAAAAAAAAAAAAAATTTTGGAGGACCGACATTATCTGACTTTAAGACTTACTGTAAATCGCTAATTGTTGGTGAAAGAATAAACAAATAGATCAATGGAGGAGAAGAGAGAAACCACTTCATTGCCTATGGCGCACTTATCATGGTTTATAAATATCGTGTGTGTGTGTGTGTGTGTGTGTGTGTTTGATTTCAGTCTCAATTAGGGGAGCCCATTGTATACTTTGTTCCCTACTGCACTCCTACAAAAGGGCCTGGCTCATAGTAGGCCCTCAATAAATAAATGTTGAATGAAAGGCGAGAAAAAAGAAAAATAGAAAGCCAGAAAAGTAAGCAGACAGCCAGTCTCTGAAAAACAGAGTAAATCTGGGATTTTATTTTAAGAGTAACTCTCGTCCTATTTTGGCACCGAACTTTTGGAGAGAATTTCCCAAACCAACTCATGCATTTATGGCCTCATGGGGAGTGTGTTAAATTTAACAGGATGGGAGAATATGGAAGATCCCATCGGCACCTTGGGGCTGGTTTCACTGGAACGATGACCCCCATTAATAAGGACAGATAGGGTAAGTATTTGTCAAGGATAACAGAGTCCCCTTCGTGGACCGGATTTGCTGATAACCACAGGCTGATGTGACAGTGAGTCTTGGGAATAATCTCCATTTTGAATTATTCTTTAGCTGGATTAAATACATCCAGGAGGGAGAATTAATAGGTAGCTAAGAGTTGGCAAGTGGTTTAGAACTTGTCAAAAAGTCAGCAAAATTTGTGGTCAGTCCATGAAGCACATGGCTCATAACACAGAACACAATCAATCGTTCATTAATAACAAGGTATTGACCTATACACAGTCCCATGATCTAATATAAAAAGTGGAGTACATATTTCTTTATTAATTATTGGACACTTACTTGAAAAAAAAGTCGCTGGCGAGGCTAATTATTTGAGAATAGTGTATGTGACAGTAGCCACATGTATTCAATAAAGATGGAAGAAGATGCTACTGAGGAGCTAGCTGACCGTCAGAGGACCGAGGAGAGAGAGCGTGCTATTTTTTTTCTGAGAGCATCTACAGAATAGCAGCAGTTTAAACAATTAGAGGATTTTAGCAGTCAGGGGAACCGTAGCAGATGGTGTAATGTGCTACCCAATTCCTTTGGGTCCCTTTGCTGGTTCTGGGTTCTCATCCCTCAGCTTCTATTTGTGCTTTGCTCCGAATACCTACATACAAACCTCATCAGAGGACACTGTGACAGAAACACTTTGTCCTGACTCTCAGAGAGCTGATGTAGCCCCAGCGTGACCTGTGGCCAATGATGGATGGTGCAGAAGCCGCAAGTTTGCTTTCTTTTCCCCAGGTGGGGCAAACTCTGGAGTGCAATGAACGTTGCAGAGCTCCAGGGAGTCCCAGCTGAGGCTGGGTCCAGGCTGGGTCCTGTCTGGGAAGTACGCCCTTTCTAGGTGTTTACTCCCTTTCTACCTGGCGCTCCCACTGCCTTGCTGCTTTCCCCTCAACATACTTCCTTGATGACTCGAACATGAACGCTCATTTCAGGATCTGCTCCGGGGAACCCAATTTAAGACAAGAGCAAAAGCAAAGTCTTTCTTGCTTTTTTAAATAATAAGGTCTAAATTTCTCCATGTGCCAGAGGCTTAACCATCCCACTCACCTGCTGATGCAAGCGCTGCTATCCCTAGAGACACCCAGAGTGACAAAAGAGTCTCGGGCACCAGCTGTCTCACACTCTCCCTGTACGACCCTCTTCCTGGGGCAAATCCAACTCCTGGTCTTAAGTGTCTATGTGTCGTTTTTAATGATTGTTATGTTTCTGGAGACTTTCTCGTTTGAACCATAAAACGTGTAGTCAGTTCATCAGACCAACTGTCTATCAGATGAAAATGAGAAGGAAGAAAACTTGAAATGAAGGTACTTCAAAATGTACCCTAGCAGAAGAAAATGTTAAGGATGTCACAAAATATTGCCACACAAGTTTATAACCGTGATTCATATATTTTGTGGTTTAAATTCAGCTACTAGCTAAGGACCAAGATGAGCAACTAATGCTCAGTGTGATTTAAAGAAATATTCCTCTATTTCAGACAAGAAGACTTTTACTTACTAAGTAATTCGTAAAATAAATAATTATTAATTGAAAGGTGGCATAATATGGATTTATTCTGGTATTTTGGATTATATAGAAATATAGTCAGCCCATCAAAGTAGCCTCAAAATGATATACAAAAGCTTACATTTCACACACACACACACACACACACACACACACACACACAAACATACTTGCAAGAAATGGTCAAGATCAGTTTAGTAAGATCAAGATAT